GTCTGGCAGACTCATGCGTGGGCTCCTAAGGAAGATTATTTTTATAAATATGTTGTAAATAAGTGTATTATTATAAATTAAGATCTGTAGTAGAGTCTCCTGGGAGATTGAAATCCTCAGACACTATTTTGTCCTTGTTTTCAGTCCTGATGTCAAACTTTGCCCCAAGTTTCTCCTATTTGTCCCCCATAGAATCCAGAGAGACATTGTCAACAGATGCTGGCATGTATCATCTGAGAAGACCATGTGAAGGCACCTCTTATTTTGGGTACAAAGCTGTTGTGGCCTGTGTTGGTACTGTAGGTGTAGTTGTGGGGGCAAAATAGACCTCTGCCTTTACTGCAGGGTCTCCAGGTTGGCATCGTTGTTTCCTTGTGGCTTGTGAAAATCTGCTTCAGGTTCAGTGGTTTTCTGTAATCAATTACAGGCTTGCTACCCAGTGCCTGAGAAAGTGTAATGTAGATTGTCCAGTGTGGGCTGTAGATTGTACTTGAGTGATTTGAGTTGTGAGCTCTAGTCCAGGTGACAACTGGTGGGGTTTCTGTTTTTGTGGTCTTTTAGGAGGTCTGTCTTGGGAATCGATCTGACTCTTATTGATTTATCAGTTTCATTGGTGGGTATTTCAGTCTCCCGAATGCCTGGCTTAATTCCATCCATGGAGCAGTTTGGTCTAGGACAGGGGTAGGCAACCTTGGCTCTTTCTTTTATGACTCGTGGACTTCAACTCCCAGAATTCCTGAGCCAGCATGGCTCAGCTTGGAAACCTCTCCCTTTCCCCTCAGCATGGCTGGCTCAGGAATTCTGGGAGTTCATAAAAGAGCCAAGGTTGCCTACCCCTGGTCTAGGAGTTAAGGCACCACACTAGAAAATAGGGAGACCGTGAGTTCTAGTCTTACTTTAGGCATGAAAGCCGGCTGGGTGACTTTGGACCAGTCACTCACTCTCAGCCCAATCCACCTCACTGGGTTGTCGTTATGGAGGAATAGAAGGTGGAAGATGTGTTGAATATGTTTGCTGCCTTGAGTTATTTGTAAAAACAATAAAGGCAGGATACAAATAACAAATAAATGAATTAGAACAAATGCAGTTGTAGCCAGCATAGATTGGTGATGTTTTTTAGGTAGCATGAAACTTACGAATTGTCACACATATCTAAATGTTTTCAATTTCTGTTCACAACGCACCAAATCTTTGCAGTAGTTGACAGTTCCTGGTTTGTTTGTTTTTTTAAAAAAGCAAAATCGACAGACACAAGCTTGCCCCATAAGATTTTTCTAGAGGTTTAATAGCTGCTTACCCAATACTGTGGCCATGAGTAAGTGTATAGTCCTTAAACAACAACATACAATCAGGAGAACAAAATTCACACGGTGTTTCATTCATCAGCTTTGATGCCAGGAAAAAAGGAGTTAGGATACAGATTATTGCAAACTGCATAAACAAAGCTCCAGCCGTCATTTCATAGTCAAGTCATTAAGTTTCTCTGAATTGCTTGAATATCTTTCCCCTTAATGTAATGGTTAAAATAATGTATAATAATCACATCTTAATAGGCAACAACTTTGGGCTAACCTAGTCTGGACTCAGAAACTAAAATGGTCAGGTTAATACATTAGAGTAAGATATTGAAGCTAAAGTCTAGAACCCAGAAAACAGAAGCAGACCACTTTGTGTCCCTGAGAATCATCATAAGTCAAGCTCAGTTTCAAGGATGATCAGAAAAAACAGGCTGGCATGTGGTTAAATCCCTCTGAGTCACTCTCTGGATTCTGTTGACTCAGCCAATCAGCGTCTGATGTCTGAAGAGTGTTTTTGATTACATATTTCCAAGGCAGTGAACAACAGGAACAGATGAACAAAACAGACATTACATTATAAGTAAACAATGAAGTGGTAACAGCAACAAAATTTACAGAAATGGTTAATTCTAAATTCTTCTGGATGAAGAACGATCCCAGTTAAAGTTAAGTTAAATCCTGGGCCATCTATTAAATGGTTTTGCAACTTTTGCTTAATCTTAAAATTAGTTAGGGGAAATCACCTCGAGTGAAAATGTCCAGCAGTTCAACCTACAATCTTGTTGAATTCTTCGAATGAAAGTGTTTGAAGAACTGACGGAAAGATTATTATTTTGGGGGCAGTTTTAATTTTGGCCGAGAAAGGGTTTGAGAAACTCAAAAACCTAAAACTGTTGCAGAGTTTTGGTTGGCTTAATAAAGAATGACTTGTATGGAACTTTGATTAATAATAATAATAATAATAATAATAATAATGATAGTAATAGAGTTCATTGCATAAATCAGTTTTGGGACAGAGGTAGTCTTGTTGAAGTCAGCTTTCTTAGCTCCAACTTTAAACAATACTCCATTTTTTTAAAGTCTGTGAGATGTATTGATTGCCTGGTGTGATTCTTGTTAGTTCATAACAATTACAAAATATAACAATAATACTTTTTTAAATAATCTGTTTTTTTCTCCTTTTTCTAATAATAGATAAGTGCCCAAGGAGGGGTTCTGCATGCAGTTCAAATTGACAGTCCCTATTTAACAAAGGATTATTGCATCTATTACAATTCTACCTGGACGTCCCTTCCTGATAGTTTATCTAACATTGTAAGTATTTATACACTGTTAAGAACTGAATGAATTTCAGGTGGGGACTGTTGTCAAGTTTCACACATTGTGCCAAGCTGTCTTTATTTTTCTTTAACCCATTGTGATACTAAGCCACAAGGCCGGGATTCCTACATTACTTATTTTATTAAGCAAATTTATATAGCCGCCCAACTCACACGTTGATGACTCCAGCCAGTTTATAAAATTTTTAAAAATCTCCCATATAATAAAAAACTTTAAAAAAAAAGAACATCTCCCACTCTCCATGGTAGCAACTACAGAATCAAACCAGCCATTTGACTGTCTCTATTTCCATTTGTGGTCCCAGGCTCCTAATAAAACCATGTTTTCAGGGGCTTTCAGACAAAACAACAGGGTGGGGTCCAACCATAGCTTGACAGGAAGGATGTTCCATAAAGACCCTGGAGAAGGCTTTTTTTTGTTGTCACACCAGGATTACATGCTTAATTGATGGGACCTGTAACATGCCTTGTCTTCCTGTCCGAGTGGTTGAGTGACTCTAATAGGGAAGAGGCCATCCATCAAATAGCCTAGTCCCCAACCATGTAGGGCAAGGGTGTCAAACTGCCGGCCCACAGGCTGGACGCGTCATGACAAAACCACGTCCACCCCATTGCTGGCAATGGGGAAAAAGTTCCGATATGTCACGCGACGTCACATGACGTCGCAAGTTTGACATGTCTGATGTAGGGCTTTAAAGGTGATAACCAGGACCTTGAATTATGATAAGCAATAAGCCAGCAAACCATGTTAGTATAGTGCAGGAACATACTCAGAAGTATTTGGCATCCCTTTAAAAGATGTCATTGGCCAAGCTACAGTGCGGTATAGTAGAATTGTAAGGAAACAACGCAGGTAAGTCTGGATTCATACATGTAGTAGAAGGACGTGGGAGTGAAATAATTGAAAGTGATAAGATTGGGCTGGGTGTAGGGACGCTGGGAATACCATCCTTGTTAAGTTTCTGTAAGCAGAAAGCTAGCACCGTAGGAAAATGTTGGATTTCAGTTTTACTTGCCTTTCAGATGCAAAGGCAGAAAGTCGGCTCAGGAAACAGGGACACTCAGATAGGACCTGGCTGCAGCTCTTTAAAGCAGCTGCGTCTTTCCCCAGAAACAGTTGCAGGCATGAGAGGAAGCTTTAGCGCTTTAAGGGACTGCAAACTGAGCTTCAGGAATGCCTCCCTTTGGAATCTGAAGCCCTGCACAGCTCTAGCCTCTAACACAGGGGTGTCAAACTCAATTTGATTGAGGGCCGCATCAGCATTGCGCTTGCCCTTGGGGGGCCGGGTGGGTGTGGATGGAGTGGGTGTGGCCTACTGGGTGGGCATGGCCAACTCTACATTGTTCGCGTCAAGGGTGCCTGTGGGGGCCTGGGCAGGAGTGGGACAGATCTGAGGGTCTCTGGCAGAAGGGGGTGGGACCGGGGCAAGCGCCAAGGCATGGTCCATTTCTTCATTCCTCACAAAGGGTGACACCTCCCAAGCATGCACCCAGGGGGCGGGGCCGATGCAGCAGGGGCTGGTTCCTCGCTGTTTCCAGACGGCCTTGTGGAGCTAAGACTGAATGCCTTTCAGCATAGATGGCCACCACAGAATTGTACATTGGCTCCCGGCCGGCCTGGGCCAAGGCCAAGGCAGAGGGGGCCGTTCCCTCACTGTTTCCAGGATGGCTTCGCGGGCCACATGAAACCACTTCGCGGGCCGCATCCGGCCCCCGGGCCTTGTGTTTGACATGTCTGCTCTAACAGAAAGACAGAGACCTTTGAAAAGAGTATGTCCTCTTTGAATTCTCACAAAAGGCATTTACTACTCTGTGTTTCGGACCCAGGGTTTTAATTCTGGTTCCTGTAAATAATAGGAAGTGAGAAAAAAGGTTTTAAAAAAACCCCATTCCAGTTACGTTGCGGAAATCTCTTGCATGTTTGCTCTTTAATTTTTGGTTTCCTTTTTCAAATGACTTATTTTTACGGTCTTTCAGGCCTATGCAAGACTGGAGTTTTTGACCCCCAGGATGCTCTGCAGCCCATCGGAGGTTACGCAAGACATCAGGAACAAAGCAATCGTAGTGAAGAGGGGAAATTGTACTTTTCTTGAGAAGGCGGAAATTGCTCAGCGGTTCGGTGCTAAATTACTGCTGGTGGCTAGCGAAACTTCCATTGTAAGGTCCAGTTTTTGCACAGTTGATTGCTTTCTGTCGGTCTTTTGGAGTTTGGAAACTGATTTGTCCATTTTTTTTCAATTGTTATTAGCAGATCCATGTGATTTGGATCAACGTTCACCGATTATTCTAGTAGGTTAGGCCTACTAGAATCTGAATCTATGGTATCCTATGTAACTTTTAAGCAGTATGTTGTTTAAACACACTAGACCAGGGGTAGGCAACCTTGGCTCTTTTATGACTCATGGACTTCAACTCCCAAGACAAATTATTCTACGATTTTCTTTATCTTTTATTAAGTGAAATTATCATTCCTGGATTTTCAGCTAACAGGGACCCCCTGAATGACTGTAAATTAAAAAAATAGTAATTATAGGTAGTCCTTGACTTGCAGTCGTTTCGTTTAGGAGTTTAATTTTCCATTTATCCAGATAGGTTTAACTTAAGCCCCGTGGAGTCTTTTCAAGAGCTAATGAAGGCAAAGAATGAAGGCCAAATTATATATGATATATGAAAAGCCAAAATGTCTACATAATGGATAGTGGTGGAATTGGGGGGGGGCTCTGTTAATAATGGTATCTAGAAAAGATGAGAGGAACTGGGAGCCGTTTTCTTGAGAAATGTCTGTGATTTAATAAGTCTTGGCTCGGGTAAGCAGAGACAAATTTATTTCCCATTTTTTTTTAGCGTTCTCCTGGAGGAAACAAGACCCAGAATCTGACCATTCCTATTGCGCTCGTCAGAGACACAGACATAAAGGATTTGGAACAGGTACTTCCTTTTCACCGTGGCTTTTTGGGTGTGTGAGCGAGAAAAATAAATGGACTTCTATTGGAAATTAATAGATTTTGGTTATACCCTGCTTCCATCTTTAAATATTTAGTGATGCACCTTTAAATATTTAGTGACGCACCCCGCAGGCGATATCTTTGCGTTATTTTGTGTTTCTGATTAATACTTTGGGGTTGCGGGTTAGTTAACTTTATTTTGAGGAGTGCTTTACCAAGAAGTCCTTTCTTTTGCTGATCTATCATAGTTGGGTATTTTTCACCCCCCTGGTGGTTTCCTTAAAGCAGGGCTTTTCAACCTTTTCACCCATTGTACCACTTTTAGGATATGGCAATATCCAAGTACCACCAGTCGCCTAGCAAGGTGTCAAAAACGTGATAACCCCCCCCCAAAAAAGGAAAAAAGTGATAAAGTACAGGTAGTCCTCGACTTACAACAGTTCGCTTAGTGACTCTTAGAAGTTACAATGGCACTGAAATCCTGGGATACTGTGACCGTCATAAATACGAATCAGTTGCCAAGCATCTGAATGTAAATCACAAGACCCTGGAGATGCTGCAACATTCCAGCTGATTGGCGCTTCTTCAGGGCTCAGCAGATGCGCCAGGATCAGCGCCGAGCTCCAGCTGGAGCCTGGCGTTGATCCTGGCGCTTCGGCTGAGCCCTGACAGCCCTGCAGCTCCAGCCATCTCTCGCTCAGGCTTGTGCGGTGCTGCCACCGGTTCAGCTCCTTCCCCTCCCCCACTACCACTTTTCTAGGATGGTCGCGTACCACCTGCCAGGTGCCAATGTACCACAGGTGGCACCCGTACCACTGTTTGAAAAGCCCTGCCTTAAAGAGACTGAGTAAAGCAAGAAACCTTCCTGAAACGAGCATTATACATGCCACTTCAATGAGATTTTTGCAGCATTTGTCTAGATCTGGTCTGCGCCCATGGGCGACTCTCCTCCGGGGGACCTGCTGGTCAGGGGGCCGTGGGGGGAGGCAGGGCTAGGGCGAGGGTGCGCGTGCCCACAGAGAGGGCTCCGAGTGCCACCTCTGGCACGCATGCCATAGGTTCGCCACCACTGATCTAGGACATGGCATATAATGGCAATAAAGGTTATCTTTATGTTAACAAAGGCAGGGTGACCATGGATGGGTTGCAGGAAGGATGTTTAATATTCAACCAAAATTTCTAACTGATGTGTTTCTAATTTTTAGAGTCTTGGAAGAAATGTTAACGTGGGATTATATTCACCACCTAGCCCGTTCTTTGATTATAGTATGGTGATCATTTTCCTAATCGCGATGTTCTGTGTGTCTCTTGGAGGCTACTGGAGTGGTAGGGCAGAGCTGTGAGTTTAATTTTTACTGTAATACGGAAAACATTTCTAAAGCTGACTGTTAGCATAGAATTGCATCCGTTGGGCTTCCATTCACCCTGCGAATTCCTTGCATGCTGTTTCAGTCCTTTAAGTAAATGTAACAACAGAAGAATGGGTATTGCCCGGAGTGGTTTCGATCTGAGATGGGCAGCAAATAAATTTAATAAATCTGCTAGGTGGGCTCCAAAAAGCTAGAGGCATTGTGATACCCACACCCACCCCTTGAAATATCTGTGCAATGTGCACCATCTGTTCACACACAGCCAAGAAGTAAATATCAAAAAAAAAAATGTGTCTTTGAAGAACAGAGACTGGGAGGGTGTGTTTTTCTCAAGAATTATAAGAGCACTGGGGCAAAGCTGCCCAGATAAAGAAGTTATCATCTGTGGCAATTTCCTAAGTGCTTATTTTTGTCCACCCAGTGAGAAGCTGAAACGAGGCCCTAACCCCGGAAGCAATGACTCATTATCGGATGAAGAAACTCTTACTTTAACCCCTTTGACAGTTGTCATATTTGTGTCCTTCTGCTGCATTATGCTGGTCTTGATGTATTTCTTCTACAAATGGCTCGGTAAAAAAAATACGAATTTATTTAGCCTGGGATTGGAAGGGAAAACTTGTGGCCGGATTGCTAGACCTCTAGCCAAGGAGCAGACAGGGTGCTGCATACCTGAAGGCCTTTGTTATTTTAAAATAAGTGCTGGAGAGATGGATTTTGGCCTCTGTTACTTCCGGAGACAGCTTTGCATGCCCAAAGTATTATGGACATTTAAAACAGCCAATCTTCCCAATGCAGTTTAGGCAGATGGTTCGCGACCCCAAGGTGCTTTTAGAAGCATGTTTTGAGTAACTTGTACAACAGCCCTGCGTGGCGGCAGTTGTTACAATTCCCCTATTGTTAGGCTGGCTGTAAGCCCTGGAGGGAGAAATCCGTGGTTTGCCTAAATATTGTGTCTGAATGTGATACAGGATACTTCCTCAAGAAAATGGATAAATGCAGCTCAAAGGGAGGAAGAATAAAGGATACCTCTGTATAGACCAGGGGTGGGCAACCTTGGCTCTTTTATGACTGGTGGACTTCAACTCCCAGAATTCCTGAGCCAGCCATGCTGAGGGGAAAGGGAGAGGTTTCCAAGCTGAGCCGTGCTGGCTCAGGAATTCTGGGAATTGAAGTCCACGAGTCATAAAAGAGCCAAGGTTGCCTACCCCTGGTTTAAATATTTAAATATTTTTTCCTCACGATCACGTGATAAAAATTCAGGGATTTGGATAGGAGTAGGCAACCTTGGCTCTTTTATAACTCATGGACTTCAACTCCCAGAATTCCTGAGCCAGCCACGCTGAGGGGAAAGGGAGAGGTTTCCAAGCTGAGCCATGCTGGCTCAGGAATTCTGGGAGTTGAAGTCCACCAGTCATAAAAGAGCCAAGGTGGCCTACCCCTGGTATAGGTAGTCCTTATTTAGTGACTGCCTTGGACAACGGTTCCCAGTTAATGACGGTGATGAAAAAATTACATTTGTGAACAATCCTCACATTTATGTCCTTCGCTGGTCTGTAAAGAAAAGGAAAGCTGAAGTAATACCATCAGCATACTCGTGGTTTCACTTAGCGAGCACTTCGCTTAATGACTGAGTTTGCCGGTCCCAATTATGGTTGCTAAATGAGGACTACCTGTATCCACGTTTATATGAATTTCTCTTTCCCATTACTGAAAGATTGATAGTCAGCTGGTTCTAGCCAGTTTGTTTGTAACCACGTTCTTCTGCTTGTTCTCCTTTCTCGTCTAGTGTATGTTGTCATTGCCATATTCTGCGTAGCATCTGTTTCGAGCATGTACTGCTGTCTTTCTGCCCTGCTGAAAAAAATACCTTATGGACAATGCAGGTAAAGCGCTCGGATTATACATGACTTTTTAAAAAGAAGGCAAAAATAATTCCTTTTGCAGATGAAAATTAAGTCACGGTGACATCTCAGTTTGGCCTCCAGCTGGTCAGTCTTTGGATGCAGCAGATTGGTTATTTAGTGATGGATGTGGAAAGTGTATCAGCTGTCACCTTGGGGTCTTCAGATCACTTCCAGGTCCACAAGAGATTAACTGGGCCAATTAAAATGGCACGTTCCAGGGATCTTATGGATCCAGAAGAAACCTGGTTGAGGAACGTCTGGTGGACCGGTCCACTGATTGCCTACTTCACAACTGGCAACAAGTGATCTGGGCTTTTGACCTAACAGCTCCTACGTGGCTGATCTCGGTTTGCTCCTTAACTTATCAATAGAAGAGAATTTCTGTGGCTCAGGGTTGAACTGTGGGGTCCTTGGTGCTCTCTGAGCTTGGCTGTTTTCTTGCAGACGTTTCATTGCCAACTAGGTGACCCTTCCAACATTGATGATGTTACCTACTTGGGCAATGAAACATCTGCAAGAAAACAACCCGGCTCAGAGAGCACCAAGGATCTCCTTAATTTACGGAGGAACTTCAAGAGATGGAGAAAAACAGCTCCTGGTGGAGAAAGACTAGACCTGAATCTGTTCGAGCCCAAGTAGGAGCTAAAGTGATCAGAAAGCCGACAAGGAAAAATAAATCTTGAGAACACATTTTGCAAAGGTAGAAGGGATCAACTATTAGTTTATAGAAAGATGTGAACAGAATGACTCAGAATTAGTCACGGAGCTACCTGGCGATCACAGGTGTCTGCAGGCATTTATTTATTTATTGTTTAGTCAATGTAGAAACCACATGCCAGAATATCTATAGGCAGCTCACCCTTAACTTGAGGAAACAATAAAGAAAATTGTCCAGACAAATGAAACAACAAGCAACCCACTCAGGGTTCTGCAACCTCCCTATCCCAAGACCTGGGAGAACTCTCAGTTTTTTTTTAAAAAAAGAAAAAAATATATATATAATAAAATCAATGGGGGAGATATCTGGGGAATCTCCACATCCACACTGATAAGGAAATAGGGACATGTGCCCTGTGACCTCACAGTGCAAAGCCAGCCTCTTCGTTTTTATTTATTTATTAAATATATACGCCAGCCGTCTTCCAGTTGAAGTGAGCGTACACTACTAATATTCTTGAGCTTTGTTTCGGTATAACTTATATCTCAGATGGAAATGGGGGGAAAAAAATCCCTGAAATGTGTTGAGTGGGATACTGAACTGGCAAGGCTGCCTTTGTTGCTGGAAAATGTACACTTGCATCCTGCATTTGCCATGCTGATCTGGTGTTGTAACTGTATTGTTTTAGGTTTCCCTGCTGGAACCGCGCCCTTGAAGTGAGACTCGTTTTCCTCTTTCTGTTTTGCATAGCACTGTCCGTTACCTGGGCTGTGTTTCGGAACGAGGAAAGGTAAGTAAAGTATAGAGTAGGGTAGGGTAGGGTAGAGTAGAGTAGAGTAGAATAGAGTAGAGTAGAGTAGAGTAGAGTAGAGTAGAGTAGAGTAGAGTAGAGTAGAGTAGAGTAGAGTAGAATAGAATAGAATAGAATAGAATAGAATAGAGCTGGAAGGACCTTGGAGGTCTTCTAGTCCAGCCCCCCACTCAAGCAGGAGATTAAGCTTTGAGAAGCCAACAAAAGTGAAACCGGGCAACAGATGACAGGTGGAGAGACACGCCTTGTCCCTGGCTGAACCCAGACAAGTCCCAGTTGCGCCTGCATTTTAGGGCCCTGTTTATACCTGGGATCCAGCACGGGCTCACCTAAAAGTTCACTGTCCCCAGCCTTCTGGGGAGGGGGCGAGGGTGGTATCCCGAGCGCTTCTTGGGCTGTTGGGGCTGCTTGGAAGGCAGAATAATGATGATGATGATGATGATGATGATGGTGGTGGTGGTGGTGGTGGTGGTGGTGGTGGTGGTGGAAGGGACCTTGGAGGTTATGTAGTCCAACACACTGCTTAAGCAGGAGACCCTTACAGAACAGCAGAGTTAATATAGAATAGAATAGAACAGAACAGAACAGAATAATAACTTTATTGTCACTTTGAATGTACACTAATCGGCATACATGAAAAGGAAATTTCATTGCATACAGCTCTCATGAGAGCTAGTTTGGTCTAGTGGTTAAAGCAGCAGGCTAGAAAGCAGGAGACTATGAGTTCTAGTCCTGCCTTAGCCATGAAAGCTGGCTGCGTGACTTTGGGCCACTTACTAGGCGACCGTGAGTTCTAGTTCCACCTTAAGTATGAAAACCGACAGGGTGACTTTCGGCCAATCACCAGGAGATCGTGGGTTCTAGTCCCGCCTTAGCCATATGAAAGCCAGTTAGGTGACTTTGGACCAAGTCCCTCTCTCTCAGTCCAGCCCACCTCACAGGGTTATTGTTGCAGAGAAAATAGGAGGAAGGTGTGTTGGCTATGTTTGCCCCCTTTCTTTGTAAAAATAATAAACGCGGGTCACAAATAAATAAAAAATAAAATAAAGTGAAGAATTTTAGGTTTTTCCCCATGTTGGAATAAGCACCGCTAGAGAAAAAAAATCATGTCTTCTGCTGTAGAAGAGATTCGGCAAAAAGGCACCAGGGTGTATGGGCGATTGTGCAACTGAAATCTCACACACACACACCTTTTTCCCATCCACGCACAGGTGTACCCGCTAATTTAGCTCTCCCGCTCTCCCCTGTGGAAGTCTCTGCCAGGATAGCTCTTCCTCCCCCCCCTCTTTAAAACAGCCAAAATCGTGTGCATTTTATAATAATAATAATAATAATAATAATAATAATAATAATAATAATAATAATAATAATAATAATAATAATAATAATAATAATAATAATAATAATAATAAAAATAAAAATAAAGTTAGAAGGGACTTTGGAGGTCATCGAGTCCAACCCCCTGCTCAGGCAGGAAACCCTACACCATTTCAGACAAATGGCTGTCCAGTCTCTTCTTAAAGACTTCCAGTGTTGAAGCATTCACCACTTCTGGAGGCAGGTTGTTCCACTGGTTAATTGTTCTAACTGTCAGGAAGTTTCTCCTTAGTTCTAGGTTGCTTCTCTCCTTGGTTAGTTTCCATCCGTTGCTTCTTGTCCTGCCTCCAGGCGCTTTGGAAAATAGCTTGACTCCCTCTTCTTTGTGGCAGCCCCTGAGATACTGGAACACTGCTATCATGTCCCCCCTCATCCTTCTCTTCATTAAACTAGACATACCCAATTCCAGCAACCGTTCCTTATATGTTTTAGCCTTCAGTCCCCTAATTGGTATCCATGTCTGTATTTTAAATTTTCAAAAGGGTGAAAAGTGAATTTTTTTTTTTAGGCCAGGAGCTCAAGCCCATAAAATTGGCTGTTAATTCACCCGTCTTATCAAAGCAGGACTGAGTCACCAGGGACAAGGATCAAGGTTTCTCTTTTTTGATAACATAGTTTTAGATGAGATGGAGGCCTTCACTTGCCCAAACCTTCTGTGTGCGTATTTATTCAGAAGCCTCTGCCGTTATATGCTCAGGGGAAGTTTATCTTTTATTGAGTGTGTTGAGGATTACAGGTGAAATTTAAACAAGTATGTGTAGTGTTCTTGTTCCTGTGCTTAAATGTAATTTTTTTTTTTAATTTTAGCTGGGCTTGGATTTTACAAAATATCCTGGGAATTTCTTTCTGTCTGAACTTTATTAAAACGCTCAAAATGCCCAACTTCAAGGTACAGTAACTTATTTAGCTAAACTATATGGACACAGTAAATAATAGAGTGAAGGAAAGGGAGTATTTTAATTTGCCACCAACTGTAGCCTTACGTTTTGTCTTTAGAGCAGCTCGTGAAGATTTTCCCCATTACAGTTAGATTTCTTTGCGAAAAATTGTTAACGGAGGTGCTAGATTTCAGCTGCTCTTACACAGGCAGCAAGGCTGAGGAAGGAAATGTGTTTTCAGCCATTATTAATAGATGTCAAAGAGAGAGGGATACAATCATTGGGTTATATCGAAATAAAAAATACAGCACTTATAAGGGAAAAAATAGAATTTCTACTGTTGACTTGAAGACCTGAACGTACATTTGAAAGTGATAGCAGGAATGTGTGGGATGGTTGTTTTTTTTTTTAAAAAAAAAATAGATTAATATATATTAATATAATAATAGATTAGAGTTTCCTTTTCTAAAAATCAATTGGCTATATGTACTCTGTTTTTTACTAAACCACAATCTTTGGGCTAAATCTAGAGTAAATCGTACTTGGAGTTAACCCACTGAAAACATCGGACAAGATAACCTCCAGAAAAACTAATCTGTTTATTCTGTGGCCAAAGAATTTTTACTTATGCAATGTTTATGGCCACTACTAGAAAGACCGTAGAAAAGAAAACGAATCTCAAATGTGGAATGGATGTCTTTAAGTTTGAAAGGGTTTTGCAATATATTTTGTTTTTGTTTTTTAAATAAACATCTGTTCTTTGTTCTCTAGTCATGTGTGATTCTTCTAGGTCTCCTTCTTTTATATGATGTATTTTTTGTCTTCATCACACCTTACATTACAAAAGTAAGTATGCAGGTTTTATAATGATTATTTTCCTCATGCAGAGGGGATTCAATTTTTGATGTAGCGTTTTTATGAAAAATATGCTCCAGTTTAGCGAACGTTTTAAGTGTACAAGTCCAACATTTTGATTTAATCGGATCCATACCTGGTGTAGAATAGGAAGACTAAGCAGTACAGGTACTGCTTTCGCTTAAAATTATTTCTTTAGCGACCATTTGGAGTTATAACAACTCTGAAAAAACTGACTTACAACAGGTCCTCACAACTGCAGCAATATTTCCACAATCACATAATCAAATCATTTTGACAACTGGGATATATTTATCAGGATTGCAGCATTCCAGGATCTTGTGATCACCATTTGTGATCTTCCCAGCCAACATCTGGCAAGCAAAGTCAATGGGCAAACCTGAGATTTGGTTAAGGACTACATGATTTACTTAAGAACTCTTTTAACAACCATGGGGAAAAAGGTCGTAAAATTGTGCGTGACTCGCTTAACAGTCTCTGTGCTTAGCAACAGAAATGTTGGTCCCAACTGAGGTCTTAAGTCAAGGACTACCTGTAGAATATTGGCTGTTGTTCAATGCCACCAGTTGCCTTTGTGTGGCACTGTGACGCCATTAAATTAGATTAAGGTCTAGATAAAGTGAACTACATAATATCCCAGACTCTTAATTCCAGGACTTTTAAATATTCCAAACAATTTATTTCAGGTCTCAAAATACAGAGACTAAAAGTCCATTATTTATTTATTGTATAAACATTTGCATATCTACTATATTTATCTTCTGTTTATTTTATTTTATTTTGAAATGTGTGTTTAGGCTTCATGTCCGTTTTGGTGTTTTGTTTATGTGTTTTAAGTGTCCTGTCCTGATGGAAATTGCATTAAATGGTTTGATGCTCGTTTCTAATGAATTCATGAAATATACTTGCAGCTAGCATTTCCTGTAAATCGTATAGAACCAACTGTGTTATCAAGTTTGTTCTGATTTTGCTCTTTTTAATGTCGTCATCCCACGTTAATCTTTACTGGATTATGAACAATCCTGGTTCCTAATTCATTCCGTTTTATATGGCTTTGCCAGGGAGTGTCCTGGTCAAACATCTACTGAAAAAAAAAAATGCATTGAGTTTTAAATGCCTAATATTTAAGTATTTCCAGAATGAATGATTCAGCATCCATATTCTTTTTCAAACTTTCAGAGTGGAGAAAGTATCATGGTTGAAGTGGCACTCGGACCGCTTGAAAGCAGTGAAAAGGTAGGCATATTATCTTTTGAAAAACCAATCACTTCTGTTTTGACAGGTTGGGTTGTATTATAATATTGCACTTGTTTTTCATAAATACGCAATCCTGGCTAAAATCATCTTAGAGACCTCTTAAACCAGCGTTGCTCAGCTTGGCAACTTGAAAATGTGCGGACTTCAACTTCCAGAATTTCTGGCTGGAGAACATCTTTAAGTTGCCAAGGTTGAGAAACATCGTCTTAAACTTTTGGGGAGAGAGAAAATGAATGCAAGATTGGTCCTTTTCCTCCTCCCATGTAAAGTGTGCTTGGATATTGCCCTTAATATTCCAATATAAACTGCTTAAAATCTTTTTTTTCCAAGTATTAAATGCTTGTTGACTTGGGTTTGATCCTAGAATGATGGAAACTTGATGGAAGCCTCTGCTGAACAATCAGCTCCTCATGAGAAAGTAAGGATTGTGTTTAAGATACATTCCGTGGATTTTCAATGGCCTCCTTTGAAAAAAAAACCACAACAATATTCTTTGGGGCAGGGGGAAAAAAAACCCGATTCTCTGTTCTCTCCATGTTAATTTCTTCAGGATTTGGATCTAAGTGTTGCCCAATCAATTTTGATCAAGCTAAAAATCTTCTCTCTCGTTTCCTGGGGTGCATTTTATCAATCATTTGTCAGTGGTGTCTTGTCTGCTATATACAGATGTTTCCTCTGTGGCATTTGTGTTTGATCATACTTTTGCACACTCTGCATCTTGGTTACTGTCTTCTGAATGTAGGTCCTCCATAACACGTTCTATGTGAACTAGATGAGTAAATGATTCTGATAAAATGTTACTTTTCGTGAAAAACTCCTTTTAACACAGAGGTGTTAAAAACAACTGTCTTTCAGTTGCCGGTGGTTTTCAAGGTGCCCAGGTTGGACTTTTCGCCAGCAGTGTTGTGTATGAGACCATTTTCATTACTTGGATTTGGTGATGTTGTTATTCCAGGTAAGCGTCTCTTTCAGTTGTGGTGTCTTCTTCACCATCCTAACATGGTGCTTGGGGCAACACAGGGAAAGAATTCTTCATACAATGACCGTGTGGGACATTTTAAGTCTATCTATAGATAGAGCAAGTTTCCAGGTTTCTTAACCATTTTGTCCACACAAACACACTCTATACATGTATATTGTATGGAAGAGAGAGACCAAGTTTACTCTTCTGGTTTCATTGTTTTTTTTCTCATTAAGTATGACCATTATTGTAACAGAGCATCTGCAGAGTAAGTTCTAACGTAGCTAAATGCTTAGGTTTGGATGCTTGACAACTGACTCACATTTATGACGGTTGCAGCGTCCCGGGGTCATGTGATCCCCTTTGGCGACCTTCAGTGGGGAAGACCAGATTCACTTAACAACAGTGTGACTAATATAAGAACCGCAGTTGATTCACTTAACAAATGTGGTGAGAAAAGTCGTAAAATGGGGCAAAACCCACTTAACAAATTTCTCACTTAACAACATACATTTGGGGCTCAGTTGGGGTCTTAAGTTGAGGACCACCTTTAGTCCTGTTGTTTTGATGACTTCCCGACAAAATCTCTCTGACCTGTCTTTCTTTCTTTTTTTAAGGTCTCCTGGTTGCGTACTGCAACAGATTTGATGTGCAAACCAGCTCTTCCTCTGTGTATTTCATTTTCTGCACCATAGGTAATCTATCCCAATAATTATTTTGAAAAACAGCGTTGGGAATGCCCCCGGAGGGGAGATCCGATCCTACTCTCTTGGCCTTTTAGGAGAAGCCTTAAAACCTGGCTCTGCCAATTGGCCTGGGGTCCTGATGGAGGCATTCCCTGTTGTAGGTGTTTAGTGGATTAAGAGATTATTTCACCTCTACCCTGCTGTATGTTGCTCTTTCCTAGCTATCTTTGTTAGTTTTAATGAGGTTGGAGAGCCACCATCCCGGATGGGAGGGCTGAAGCGCAGAATACACCTGGACTTTCTATGTAAACACAAGAGAGCTAGGTCTGGCCCTCTTTGAATGCTTAGGGCAGGGGTCTTCAAACTTGGCCCTTTTATGACTTGTGGACTTCAACTCCCAGAATTCCTCAGGCATGCATGTGTGCCTGGCTAAGGAATTCTGGGAGTTGAAGTCCACAAGTCATAAAAGGGCCAAGTTTGAAGACCCCCGGCTTAAATCTAACAAGCAAAATGGAGGCTGGCTGAGGAATTCTGGGAGTTGAAGTCCACAAGTCACAAAAGGGCCAAGTTTGAAGACCCCTGTCTTAAATCTAATAAACAAAATGGAGGCTGGCTAAGGAATTCTGGGGGTTGAAGTCCACAAGTCATAAAAAGGCCAAGTTTGAAGACCCCCGGCTTAGGGCCTTATCTAGTAGTTTCCATATGAAAGCTGTCAGTCTGGCGAGATTCCTTTTTAGAGGCAGAAAACAATAAAGTAGTCAGCTCGAACTTTATATACGTGGGTCTTGTTTGCGCCCGATGAGTACTCATTATACTCATTATTTTAATGTTTTAATGTTGCCATTTTGGCTTGTTGTGTAAGCCGCCTAGAACCGCCTGATGGTGAGTTGGGTCAGCATACACATTTAATAAATAAAAATAAATTACCACGCCTAGCCTAAACCAGGGCGCCTAAACATCTGCGACGTTCAGTGACATTTTTTTAAATGTTTGCCTTGTTCTGCAGCTTATGGTGTCGGCATGGTGCTCACCTTCGTGTGTCTAGTATTGATGGGGAAGGCTCAGCCAGCTCTTCTCTATTTAGTGCCCTGCACGCTCATCCCTTGTGTCCTGATTGCTTTGTACCGCAAGGAGATGAAAAAATTCTGGAATGGTAACAGCTACCAGGTAAGCAGAGACTATCCGGGTACCTGTGAGTAGATGCTGCTTATTCTTCATACAAAGGGCACAGCTTGTGAGATCCAGAGGGACCATAATTGTTGGGTTAGGATTGGCGAGTTCAGTTCAGCTCTTGGTTGTGATCATTCTCTGCCCGATGTTGAGCCACTCAGTGCCCTTTAATCCAACATACCTCACAAGACTGTTGTGACTGTAAAAATAATGTTGAGGCCGGGATGCTACCCATGCTGCCTTGAGCTCTGGAGAAAAGGGGAGATAATCAGTCTAGTAGTACGTATGTGTGCCTTCAAGTAGTCACTCTGGACTCCTTGGGACGGCTTGGACAAGTCCCTGCAGTTCGCTTGGCAACATTTTTGGAAGCGTTTTTGCTGTTGCCTTCTTCCTGGGGTCGAGAGAGAATGACTGGCTCCAAGCCGTCCAGCTGGTTTTGTGCCTATGGGAGGATTAACGCTCACAGTCTCCCTGTTTTTAGCCGGGTAACTTAATCCGCTATACCAAGCCGGCTCTCTCGTAATCTAAGAGCAAACAGAGTAAATCTTCCCAAAATACCTTGCTGAAAGAGAATCTCTTTTGAAGGAGACCAGTGGGTCTGAGAGGGTCAGAGCCAGTTTGCAATGCCCTTTGCCCCCTTCCCTCGGTCCACTCCCACAACCACTTCCTGGCTGCGCTGTGCTTTATTTTTTGCCCTGCCTACACTGCTTTTCTGTGCATCTGACTCTATTCTCCTTTTGGTTTGTGCCTCTTCTTTCCATGTCCTCGACTGCTTTGCTTTGGGCTATCTGCATATCTATCTGCCTATTGGCTTGGCTGTTCTGTAGTTTCCCCATTCCAGATGTTGCTGTTTTTTTGCCAGCACTCTACTCCCTAATCTTTGCCCAGTGGTTCTCCATCTCATTTGCTGTTCCCCAGCCTTCCTCTGCATTTGCAGCCTTCCGGCAACTCTGCTCGATCCTGTCCAATCTGTTTTCACCTTCTTCTCCAGCTCCTTGCCACCTTCTGTGGTCTCTACCTCCTCTCATGCCCCCTCCTTTTACAGGGCACGGATGAGATCCTCAAACTGATCAATGGTGTGTATCCTTAATGGGGGTCAATTACCTAGGTATAGCGCAGTGGTTCTCAACCTGTGGGTCGGGACCCCATTTGGGGTCGATTGACCATTTCATGGGGGTCGCCAAGCAAGGCTGTCCGCCATTTTTTTTGTCCGCCATTTTTCCCCCCTTTTCTGGCAGATGCCTTACCTCCCTTGGGCTGGGCCAGCTGGTGGTCGGCCTGCTCCGTCTCTGCCGCTTGCCAGCTATGCCTCGGCCGGCGCAGGGGGCGGAACCATGCATGTGCGGCGCTCCCGGGCAGGGAAAATCCTCGACTTACGACGGGTTGGGTAGTCCTCAACTTACGACCGGTTTAGTCCTCGACTTACAACTGGTTTAGTCCTCGACTTACGACCGGTTTAGTCCTCGACTTACGACCGGTTGGGGTCGCGGCATTAAAAAGGTTGAGAACCACTGGTATAGCGGTTAAGACCTGTGAAATCCTTCCCTCTTCCGATTTTAAAACAATCCGGTTAAAGACTGACACGTTGATTCCAGTGTAAGCTTTTGTGGGTCATAGTCCATTTTGACAAAGGTCCGGGGTATAATTTATATATCCGGGGCATGTGAAACCTACCCAGCTGTAGTGAGTGGGTGGAGAGAAGAAAAGAGAAGAAAGGAAAAAGGTGGAAAAAAGAGGAAATAGAGACAGAATTATGTTCTGTCTTGACCCAAACCTACTCAGCAATAAGATGTGACACCAAAGATTTGAAGGCCACCTGATGATTGGTCCTGTTTTTGATATTACCCTGGATATCAGAGATTTTCTTGTGAGCCTGCTTCCTGTGAACTAGTGAACTCACAGCTCTGTTCACTGATAATGGAGGATCGTGCAGCTGGATGTTTACACAGTGGTCTTCTGAACCTTTATCAACTGGGGAAGCAATCATTGCTGTAGGGACCAAAGCAGTGTCGCTTAGTTCAATATGTACTTTGTGCCTCTTTCTCTGGTCTCTCATATGGGCTCAGCTGGGAAATAAAGAGGAAAACAAAAATGCAACACAATTCATATTTCCAATCGGAGCCCCCCGGCCCTACTCCTTCGGTCCCACTTCTAAACTAACAACTGACTACTTGTATCTTGAATTGCAGGTTTCATTATTTAGAAGTACTTAAAGTTGCCATAGCGATAGTTTCATATGCTTTTCTCAGCAAGCAAGGATTTAAATTGCTTTGAACTTTGGATCTTTGTGTCAGCATGACTTAGTCTGGAATGAAAATTCTAACTCACCGTATGAGAATTTGAAGGCAGTTCAAACAGGGCTCAGTTCAATGAGACCTTTAATCTAGTTCGGTAAGTTCTCAGCGGCAAGACATCTTTTCATTTGGCTTGATCCTATCCACCTTGCACTTTTTCAAAGCAAAAGTCCACACTTTTATTTCCTGCCAGTTCAGGCTGCGTGATTCAACCAGCTATTTAACATTCAACACCAACAAGGGGAAAAGCCACCAGAATCGATTAACTGTCAGGTAAACTGTCATCCAAATTTGCTGAGTGGGAAACCCTGGATTCATACTTTGGAGGCAGTTCTACTTCCAAGTTACCTGCACTCAAATTAATGCTCGTTTTGCCAGAGGAGGTTTTTAAAAGGAGTGCTCTCTCGGGGAAAATTCAGTTGTTTTGTTCTCAGCCTATTTGAGATGTAAACAAGTCTTCACTGCGAAGTGTAGTGAGCGATCTTGCGATGCCGTTTCTGAATAAATTTCCCAGCCAACCAGGTTTTGGCAAACATACCCAACGTGTTTACTAACTAAGCAGTGATTTGATGAATATAATTCCTTGTTAAGTATTTTTGGAGATCTTAAAACGGCACTGATCTTGATATTTGAACCGATATACTCCTGCCTTTTCGTTGTTGCATTCTCATTGTCCTAAATTATAGTGGCACAAAGTGATACTATTTGGAGCTTGCTCTTTGGTCCTATTTCTAGTTAGGCATGTGGCTAAATCTGAATAGAATCTTTGTGGGGTTTCCTGAAATCTGCTTTCAGATCTTTGGAACCTGTTGCACAGTGAAAGCTGAATAATCACCAGGTTTTGCCTACTTGTGTTTTTCCATCCAGCCCTTTTAGGCTAACTTAGCGAGGATGATAAATGCTGAATCAGCCAATCAGCTTAGAAAATGTTATAAAAATAATCTGCAATGTTATGGGCTTGGTGCTTAAATGGAAGCAGGTACACCAGATATTTTTCTCTCCCTCTAGAAACTTCCGTTGTGAGCTCTGCCTCACAATAAATTCTGCAGCTTTCATGTTCGTACGCTGCCTTAAGTACACCTGTGGTAGAAAGGCAGGGGATAAATTGAAGGAATAAGTATATTTTGTCTTTATTTTTATTTCTGCTGGTCGTGGAAAAGGATAGCGAAATCCTAGCTAGCTTCCTCTGGCCTCTTTGGAATGCCAGACATTATTTCCCACATATTTTCAGATCTGACTTTGCCTGCCCGCCATAGCGACTGTAACTGGTTCCTGGAGGCTGATTTTTACCATCCACAAGTGGCACTGGATGCTTTTACAACTTGTGGCGTTCACACATTCCGAACTCTGAGGTTGCCGAGCTGGCCTCCTCTCCACTCTACTCCCCACAACAGTGTGCCTCTGTTTTTGAGTTGATGGAGCCAGCTAGCAAATAAAAATGAGCTTGAAGGTTTAACCTCGTCCACTTCCCGCCTCCCCACGTTTACTTTTGGCCTGAGTTGGCAGCATGTGGTTTTTCAGTCTGCACTTGGTTTGCTTCTTGACATGGAAAGAATTGGACATGAACGAGGTCAGTGCCAGATTTGTCAGGCTGGGTCTGCTTGCCCTGTCCTTCGGCTTAGTGTAGGGGTTACATGATTTCTTTCTTTCCTGGATCTTTTTCTGGGTTGGGATGCTGTTTTTGCAAAGAGAGCGTTCATTGTTTTTCCAGCCACATTTTTGGGAGACTTCTTGTGTCGGATGTGTTAAGAGCCAGATGTTTGGGCATTTGAATGAGTAGATCTATATCTCTCTAGCAGCATCTGCTTAGATCGGGGGTCAGCAAATGTGGCAACTTGTGGACTTCAACTCCCAGAATTCCTCAGCCAGCCATGTTGGCTGGAGAATTCTGGGAGTTGACGTCCACAAGACTTAAAGTTAGGGGTGCTTGGTGCTCTCTGAGCTTGGTTGCAGACGTTTCATTACCCAAACTAGGTAACATCATCAGAGCTAATCATCATCATGAACATCAACATCATCACCAGCGCTGATGATGTTACCTAGTGTGAGTAATGAAACATCTGCAAGAAAACAACCAAGCTCAGAGAGCATCCAGGACCCCTCATTTCAATCCTGAGCTATAAATATTCTCTTTTATTAGTCTTAAACTTGCCAGATGTGGAGACCTCTGGTTTAGATGCCCAGTTTTCTGCAACAGGTGAGCTGCAGGCTACCCTAGCCTCATGTCTTGAGCCAGTTTAAGGTGAAAAATGTATCCCAGCTCTGACCATGCGACAGATTCAGATTTATTTGGCGTCTGTCCCTGTTTAAGAAAGCCGTAGGAATTAACTCACATAGGAAAGTATTTGACTCATTAAAACAGAAGCTTAAAAAAAAAAAATCACCCTCTTTGGCTTCACAGTTTTTCTGGCAAAAATACATTGCAGAGAAACACTCCCCACCTCCCCCATTAGCTTTTAGAAAATATTGATTAACTTCAAGAGAACTAATGACTTACCTATTTGTTGGTTCTTTGCTTTCTGGGGAGTTATGCGTATTTTTTGTTTTTTTTTTAAGTCCCCAGGTTTTTTCTCCAACACTAAAATATCAGCTGCTGATTTTGTGAGTGATGACAGCTTTCTTTCTCTCATAGTTGGATAGTAAGAGTATATATTTAGTAAGAGTGAAAATACTTTAGGAATATGTAGACCAGGTTCACGTTTGCTTACTCGGGATTTATTGACTAAATATTAATTCAAACAATTTGCTATGTCCCAAGCTAACCACTTTTTTTTTTACTCCTGCAGTTATCTGCAACCAACCATTGTTTTTTATAATTATATCCAATGGATGCTTCAGTTTTCTTCTTCTGCTTCTGGCTTTAAGCAGAAATGGATTTTTGTCCTCTTCCCATGAATCAATTTGTTTTTAGAATCTCCCAGCAGTTTTTAATTACAGCTTGTCTACCGTAATATAGTTTTTAATGCTTTCTTAAACATTTCCATAAATGTGCTATGTGTATGAAGTACAACAAATTGTTTCTGGCTGAGAACATATAATGTTTTTGCTCAGTTTATTTTCCAGGGATTCCTTAAAAGAAGAAGCAATCATTTTTAATTTTCAGGTGCAAATTGTTCTACTCACTCTTTCCAAATATATGAATTTGTAAACTGATAGTAAAACTGTAGTGTTTGTTTTGTTGCTTCGGAACAGAGGCTCTGATTATTCACTTAGACAAACCTTCTTTATCTTTGGTTCTGGCTGAATAGTATCATATTTATTATATTACGATCCTTGCAATTGTCTAGCAGAAATACAAAGCCAGCAATTTGATCACTAACATACCATTTCTTTGATACCCAGGTGATGAATTCTGCTTCTAATGAAGAAAACGCCACACAAGCCACCCAACACCATGAGGGACAATAACGCATCACCAAAAATAATGTACTATGATTTTCTACTCAAATAATAGAGACTGGTTTAATTTTTAAACTGGAATATTTCATACACTTTATTATGAAAAGAATCACCTTTTTTTACACTTGCACATATATTTTTGTGAAACGTTTACTATTGATATTCTCAGAATTGCTAGAACATGTTGTCTCTTGAGGTACCAAACCATATTCAATAAACCTGTGCCTTGCTTCAATTCAAAAGTTTGTGGCCTATGAGATAGATAGTATTTCTAATCAATCGTCCAGTTTGCTCCTGGATCCCAGGCTTTCCACCTAAATCTTTATTTTGAAGCATTTAGGAGCAGAATAATGCAGACCAGAAGTGTCTTATCAGAGGTCCAGTTAGCAGAAAACGCCATAGGTTACTATGCAAATACAAGAAAGAAACAATGGGCAACTAAGAGTTTCATGCAACCATGTAATCCCATGAGTACAGTTCCCAGAAGTCCAGGTTGATGCCAATATTCTGCAGCAAAATATATATTTGATTGCATCCAATGATTGTTCCCCAAAAGAGAAGAACAGCGGCATTGAGGCCTCAACCTTCCCCTTTTTTAAGCTTATAAAACCCTAAAAAAACCAAAAACCTGAAATATTCAGCCCTGCCCTTTCCATTTTATAGCAAAGTCACTGTCACAAATATTTTTATCTTCAGTGGCTGAAAGAAAAAAGACACACAACGCGTGGCCTCAAAATGGGTCCTCACCCGGATAATAATAATAATAATAATTTATAATGTATGATAATAAGATGTAGAGGAGTTAGGAAGTCATAAAATGAGTAAGATGGATAAAGAATCAGCTGGGATGAGCCCATTAACTCATTATTATTATAATTAGGAGTTCCATCATGAGATAGTGAATATTATTTAAAAAAAAATACTTAAGATAAAAACAGGAAGAAATACACAAAAACCAGAAACTTATTTTTCCTTCATTTTTAGTTCTCCCTAACTCACCTTTTATTATCATCACTGTAACACTTCCATCATTTGAATTTTTATTTCAACCTACGCCTTAGTGCAAAGCTTTTACAACGGTCATCATAATATTAATAAAATAAATTCAGCTCTAGCATTTTGATTTGAAAGAGATTTCCTACTTTTAGCATCTCCTGGAAGTGCTAATGAACAGAAGTTTAGTAACTTTGAGCACCAACATAGTTTTAAACCAAAGATACTTGGAGGAATGTGGATAAGGAAAAAAGGGAAAAAAGACTTTAGTTTAGATGTAATATAAGAACAACAGTATAACATAAACTTCCTCATTTGGTGTCTTCCAAATATCTTAGGACTGCAGCTACAGAATATTGTTAAGAATTCTGGGAATTGTATTCTACACATGTTTAAAAGCCATCGAGTTAGGAAAAGCTGGAATAATTAGGTAGCATAGATCTTGTAGCTCAAGCGAAGAGACCCGAAGCTTTTGAAATAACTGTTTGTCATGATGTTTTCACTCAGGAGAAATAGGCTTCATTTAAATGAAACGCCATTTAAGCTAATGAGAACAAGTCTAAAAAGCAATTTAAAAGCACTCTCTGTTCTTTCTTAATAGTTGCATATTTGTAAGTCATCCCCATAAAAGAAGGCAAGAATTTCCTCTGAACATGTAGGCTGTCTCACAACAATCTAAAATTTTGATTTTGTGTGGGCTTCTGATTTGAGGTTGTCTTCCTCCCATGCCCCAAGATGTAGGCAATGAAGGGGAAAAATACAGTAGATTGAGGTACCAGAGCTATAATTCCTTAATCCGTATATCAGATAATATGTTCAGGGACTTTCCTGGACCATTTTATGAAAGAGTTTCCATTCACTGTTGAGCAGAATATAGAAATGGAAAATGGCCTACATTTTCTTGATATACCATTGGGGTCTTCTGTATACGTTTTCTTGTAAGGGACAGGAAGTACACGGCTGGGATATTTTGTGGTGTTTTTTTTTTCCAGTCATAATTGATGAACCTTTAATTATTACCTGAATCCTTTCTGTCAAAAGGCTTACTGATCATATGAGACACATTTAAAAGAACCAGGGATGCAGAGCAGGGATCCAATTGGTGACTGACCATCAGGTTTACAGATCTAAGAAACTTGAAACAATTAATACTAAGCTTTATTATCCCATCCCCAACATGATCCATCTTTCATTTTCTGTATTCCTTTTAATTATTCTTTAGTCAACAGGAATTCAAGTAGACTTCTCATTTTGTAATAAATCAAGGGAACTTGAAACTTATATTTGCATGATGGACAGAAAACAGATCCTTTTCTCTAAAATGTCTTTTGATAAGAGGCGAGCTTAAATTGTAGATAAAAGGTTAGTTTTAGTTTTAATTTTGCTGTGTTTGGAAGAGCGAAAGACAGCCAGAAATGAATAGACTTTTTGAACTGACTTTTGTTTATTTTTTTTACATTATATTGTTTGCTACTGTGGAAATTAAGTTCAATAAATTTAATTTGTAGAGGAATGTCAAATTTAATTTTGTTTTAATGTCTTAAGGTTCATTGAATTACATTTGTAAGGAATAGAATTGACAAATCATATAATATTGTCCACTGAACATGCATTTGCTTTTTTGGGATAACGAGTAGAATAAGTATGATTCAAATTACGACAAATGTTCCAAGCTTCTCATTTTAAAATGTCAAATTAACAGTGTCTGTATGGACTATTTAACAATATTCTTAAAGTTGGGTGCTTTAACTATTGGCTACTGAATAACATGCTAGGGGTCACATTGGAATGTACTAAAAGAGCTTAAAAATCAAGTTGTCCATTTTCACTTTAACAGCTTTAGTAATAAGAATAGTATTAATCATAGTACTGTTAAAAGCAATAATCCAGTCTGATAATCATCTTCTTTGCTGCTTTATTTTTGAAACATTGTGTATTTTTGTTTTCTAAGATTATTATAATTTGGAAAAACATTTTGTATCAAATAAACTTTCAGCAATAATTGGGATATTGTGTTATTATTTCCTGTCTGGTTTACACATTAAAGTGTAGCCTTGTTTGGCATCAATATGGCTGTTAATCATCTTTGTTTACTTTCCAGGGAAGAAAACTCAAAGAAAAATTATGCCTTCTCAGATTTTAAAGATGTATGTTTGAAGATGTTGGTGGAAGTCTTACATATTTTTTTGTCTGTTTTAATTCACCTTTTAAGGTTTGATTTTTATACACTTAGTAATTTTTTGTTTCAGTCCATTGTACCTTTTTATTTTCTATGTTGGAAGCTGCCTTGAATTTTCATTGTTGAATTTTTTCCCATGTTGTATGGAATATCCCTTCTGTTTCTAGCCAAACTGCCCTTTGTGCCTGTAGCATATTTACATTTCTTTGAAAGCCTCTTTGCTGTTTGTGGTAATTTTATTGCTACAAGAACAAGTTCAGGCTGGTTTGGTGAGATATCAAGCTTCCAGATAAGAGGTAGTCAGCCTTAGGGCACCTTGGCTGAGACCCAAATGATCCTTTATGCAGGATTGTTAGTCATATATACGGATTCCAGAGCCTTTGTGCTCCAACCACCAGATAGTCCCCGATTTACAACCTTTTGTTTAGTGACCGAAGTTACAACTGCACTGATCATTTTTCACCCTTACCATTGCAGCATCCCCGTGGGCACTTGATTAAGACTTGGTGCTTGGCAACTGGTTCATATTTATGACAGTTCCAGTGTCCAAGTGATCACCTTTTGTGACCTGGCAAGTAAAGTCAAGGGGGAAGCCACATTCATTTAACAACTGTTATTAACTCAACAGCAACAGTGATTCATTTAACAACTGTGGCAAGGAAGGTTGTAAAATGGGGCAAAACTCACTTAACAACTCTCTTGCGTAGCCATGGAAATTTTGGGGTCAATCATGGCCCTAAGTCAGGGACTACCTCGAAAGTCTCTGCTTCAAGGAATACTTTATTGACTTTTTCTTATGAGGGACTACCTTGCTCTTCCCGCAGACCAGTGGTGGGATTCAGCCAGTTCACACCAGTTCGGCAGAACCGGTAGCTAATTTTTTGTTGCCCAGGCCCAGGATGGACTTCTGGAAGCGGCATCCACACAGAGAACCGGTTGTTCACCTATTTGAATCCCGCCGCTACCAGCAGACATCTTTGCCCTAGATTCCTTTGCAATTTATTTATTTTTAAATAAACTGGGTGATAGATTGGTTTATCTAGTCCAAAATTGGTAGGTGAATTGAAACGTTGGAAGACGTATGCTGATGTTCAAAGACACCTCCACCGCTCAACATCTCTCACATCTATTTTATTGTTGTTGAAAATTCTCCTTTGTTGTTCTCCTTTATTGTGAGAAGCAAACAAAATGATAGGCAGATGACGGCGTGGTGCAAAAGACAGCTTGAGCCAGTTCGGATTTAACAACAGGTTTATTGCGGAGAGATAGAGGATAGTTTAGTATTAGAACTGTTAACCTGGAGAGCAGACAAAAGCGTCATTAAACAGTGGCACTTTATGATAATTGTATTTGCAAGAGTGATATGCCAAGTTGATAGTAATTATGACACTTAAGAGGACAAATAAAATGTTGGACTTAGCTTTATATCTTAAGGAGGTCACACTGACATTTCTTGCTGATTATATGACGAGCAGACGAAGAAAGATTACAAAAGAACTGTCTTTGTAAGTTGGTTTCCTTCTTTCTGTCTTTAGGCAACATTTGTCATCAATTTCATCCATCTCACTTCAATATTCACAGATATCTTCTCCAGAAAATTCAATAGAATAATTATATATTATTACAAAAGCCAAGTACTGGTCCTTCAGAGAGGCTTCAAGCATGTTCTTGAGAGGGTATCTGGGAAGACGTTGAACCTGTTAGCCCTGAGGAAAAGGACAGGGACCTTGGAAGTGTTAGTTAGGAATAGCAATAGCACTTAGGACTTATATACCGTTTCATAGTGCTTTACAACCCTCTCTAAGCAGTTTACAGAATCAGGATATTATCCCCAACAATCTGGGTCCTCATTTGATCAACCTTGGAAGGATGGGAGACTGAGTCGACCTTGAGCCGATGAGAATCGAACTGCTGGTAGTCAGTATTATTAGCCTGCAGTACTGCATTCTAACCACTGTGCGACCACGGCTCATCTAGTTTGGCCATCTATGATTTAGATTAGAATCATACTCTTAGTTGGTCAAGCTCTCCCAAGAGGTGAAAATCCATTTTACCTTTAATAT